AAGTTGAACAAGAGCATTGCGACTTAAAAGGTCTTATTAGCTTTTTATCTAATAAGTCTTGAATTTCTTTTTTACAATGAATTTTCAATTCATTATTCATGTGAATGGCTCTTGATTTTGAAGGAATGTCATTTTCATTAAAAAATTTAATGTAAGATAATTTAACGATATATTGTTTTCTGGTCCAAGAGGCATTTGGAATATTAAAGCAAACATTCTTTTCAAATTTTTATTTTAAAGTTGTTATTTTGTCTTGAATATGTTTTTCTTCTAATTGATTAATTATATGAATATCATTTATTTCATTATTAAGATATTTAGCTTGTTTTGTTTTATAATTGAGTATATTTATATTTGAGTATTGAATAGGTTCACAAAATTTGAACATAATTTCTTTTCCAAAAATATTAGTTTTGATTCCATTTTCATGGACATTAAATGGATATATGGTAGTAATAAAATGTGCTCTTAGAATTAGAGGAGAAATGAGATTTTTTACTAAAATTAGATGAGTTTTGAAACAGTAGTCTTGATCATTACAAATATGAACATCGGAAACTTTGTAATTGACGATTAATTTTGAGTCGCCTGCTCCATTTAATCTAAAAGAAGTTTTTTCATAGAAGTAAGTAGGAATTATTCCTTCTTCCATGTAATTCATGTCTGCACCAATATTAATTAAAGTTGCTATCTTGATTTCAAAATGATCTTTTACTAAAGTAATATAAGTATTTCATTTTTAAGAAAGCTGTGAATTTATAATATTTCCAATTAATACTTCTTCATTTTTTTTTTCTTTTTCAATTTCTTGAAAATCATTTTTATTTGTTAAAGATTGTTCTCCTTTTTCAATAATAAGAAGTTTATTTTTTTTATTTCTTTTATTTCTTGTTTAACGAATTTTAATTCTTCTTGAAGTTCCTAAGTAGAAATAGGTTTTTCTTTAGAAAATCTTTCAAATACATTATTGAGATTAAATAATTCAGTATTATTAAATATAATAGTGTCCCCTTCTTTCTTATTAAACATTTATTTAATAATTAATTCTTGGATATTTTTATCTTTAATAGAATCTAAGCTTTTTAGTAGTTCTTTATCGAAATGAGTGAGAAGATTAATTGAGAAGATTAATTGAATTATTTGTAATCACATTAATTGAATTACAGTCACATTTTCCAATACCTTCACATACATCAGAACTATCTGAATCAGAAGTAGTATGTTCTAAAACATTTAAATCATTTGTTTGATAGTCAGAAATACTTTCTTCAGAGTTAGAGTTTGAATTTAGAACAATTTTTCTTATTTGTTCTTTTAATTCTTCAGATATACTTAATTCATTTATTTTTGTCTTTGCATACCAATTGTTTGCTGTGTGACTGGTACGTCTACATTTATGACAAATAAATAATATCTTTTGATTTTATTTTAGATTTTTTAGATGACCATTTGTAATATTTTTTTAGAGTAGTCTTTTCTTTTATGATAATTTTCAGGATTATTATATTTTCTGTTTTTCTTAAAATATTTCAAAGATTTTTTCTTGTAATTTTTTGATTTTGATGTAAATGGTCCAATTAAAGGTTGATATCCATATTGTTAACAAAAAAATTTTAATTCATTTTTACTATTGATTCTATCTGTTTTAAGTTTTTCTTTAAACCTAAGATCTGTGCAAACTGCCAATCTTTCTTTATTAATACAATTGATTAGATCTTCATAAGTTAAATTTTGATAACGAATTTAATTATTAAAGTTTTCTCTTAGTTTTTATCTAACTCTTTCCAAATAATTTTGAAAGGCCAGCAATAAAGCGTTATTTCCAATAAGCTTCTTTAGAGTCAGGTCTTGAAAAGAGTTTAACAATATAATTATATTTATACCATCTAAAATTGGTAAGTTTTCTACAATGTAAATTCATTAATATTTCAGAAGTTTTTTCTTGAAATGTAGTTGGATCTCCAACAAAGTTTTTGATAATGGCAAAAATTAATGTATTAACCATATGTTCATCTAACGTTTGTACATGTTGACCATTTCTTGTTTTATTATGGTTTTAGTAGCAGTTAAAATCTTGTTTTTTTCTTCTGGTGTAACATAGAAATCCCACCAGCCTTTAAGAGTTCCAGTGAATCCACAAAGAATGATATTAACAATTTGAAGTTGAGTATTACCTTTTGACTTGTAAGCATTAGTTTTCATAGTTATTTCTTGAATAAGATTCATTATTTGATGTTCAAATCATCCATCGATATTCCATTTGTAAACAGAAGTTCCATTGCAGGCAGATCGATCATACTAGAATGCTCTTTCTTCAATTTGAACATCAGGAAGAGAAGTTCTATTCCAATAATTTCATAGTGTTGGCTTTTGATTTCTTTCAAATGTGTTACATTCGGATTGATTAATTTTATTTAATTTAGAAAATTCAGTAGTAAATTGATTAATATCTTTAATTATTTGTAAATTGTTGAGCAAGAGTATTAAAGTCAATTTCGCTATCACTATTAATATCTTCAAATTTATCAGTTGCTATTTGTTTAAGAGTAGTAATATTTTTCTAATTCGTCTGTTAGGTCTTTATTTTCTAAATTAAAATTTCCTTCAATTTGATAAGGAACAAAACTAATATTTGAATAATTATTAGAATTTGTTTCTTCTTTTTTATTAAAACATACCTCTTCATTTTTCTCATTCCGTTTGAATAATTATAATTCCATATTTTTTAATGTTTTATTTATTTTGTTATTTCTATTTCTAAATTTGTTAAAGTCATTTGTAAAGGTTTTTCTTTTAAAATTTTTTCTTTTATTCTATCTTATTGTTCTCCAATAGTTGTTACAACTTCATTTGAGTAATTGTTTTGATAAATAATATTTTGAATTTTTTTTTCAGTTGTTTGTTGATTTGGAACTTTTACTAAAGGAGTTGCTAAAATATCTTTATCAATAATAATATCTTTTTTGGTGGATAATTTGAAATAGTTTCTTGATTAGAGACAATGTTTGTATTTTTTTATTAAAAATAGGAGTAATAGAATCATTTTTGAATGGATAATCAATATTATGTTTAGGAGCATAAAATAACTCAAACCATTGAAAAAAATTGAGAATAAATTTTGTTTGATTAAACATAATCTTTCTAAAGTCCTAAATGTAGAAACCTTAAATAATATGAAAATTCTTTGTTATGCCAATCTCTTTTCTTATTATTATATTCTTTATAATATTCAATATTTTTTAAGTAATTAAAATCAACATGATATTCTTGTTTAGAAAAATCTATATAAAAAAGCTGTTTTGGTTAGGATTGAAGAAACATAATTTATTGTTTCTAAATTGTGATTTCTTGATTGTTTGTATATCTTGATCATTTCAGTTAATCGAAAAAAAAAAGTCTATTTGTTTATTATACGTATGGTTGTTGGTTTGTAATTTTAATAAATAGTGTTTTTCATGAGATCTTGAATCTTTTAAATGTTGAATATTTTTACACATATTAGAGTTTATTTTCCAATATCTTTTTATTATGTTATTCTAAAACCGATTATTTTTTGAACAATTAATCTGTATTTTAGAACTCATTTAACAAATTAATAAACTATTAGTAAGATGATTAATTGAATAATTGATACCTTTTATGACCCTTTTAAAATAAACCATCTCAATTTTTAATCTTCTTGTTTTAACTAACTAAATTGCGTACAATGTTAACCTTTAGATATTAACTATTTTACTTCTAATTGTTTTTCTTTTAAGTGTTTTGTTGAAGTACTGAAGTCTTGCCAAAAACTTTTAAGTAAATTAGTATTATAATTGTTATCGAAATTACAATATATTTGAGTTTTATTACTCATATTTGTTGTTTAAAATTGTGAAGTTCATCTATAAAATCAGATTTAGTGGGACTAGATAAACTAGTTTTACTATTTTGTTCATCTTGATAAAGTGGTTTAGAAATGAAATTAGTATAATCAACAGCCTTTAGTTTTAAAGATCTTGATTTTGAAAATGAAGGTTTTGATGTGCCAACTTCTAGAATCGAACTTGTTGCAAATCGTGTGTGTGTCTATATATATATATATATATATATATATATATATATATATATATATATATATATATATATATATATATATATATGGGATTACAGTTTAATCTTAATTAAATTACATGATTTCATGGAAACAAATAAAAATAAATTTACTTCAATACCATTAAATTTTAACATTAATTTAAAAATAACAAATTAATTATTTTAGTTTTAAACTTTACACAAATGACATCTTAAAGATAGTCCAATTCCTCAAATTTAGATTGTTGTGATCTGTTCTCGCATTTTCAATTTTTTTGGTGTTCTTGAATGAACCTACTCTTCATTTCAATTTTTTTGGTGTTTTTGAATGAACCTACTCTTCATCATTACTCATCATGTTTCCTAAGCCTAATACACTATTTTGATATGTGCTCGAGTTAGTGGCAATCTTATAGTGTTAACTTGGAGAAGATTATTTTAAGATATGTTTGATATAGTTTAAACAACTTATTTATTTTTCTTTATTTGGATTGTGATTCCCTTAAATACTCTTTTGACAACTTATTTTTCAATATGTTAATAGACTTTGAAGTTTATCGGACGTTATCCACAATTTACTATGTAAATGGTTTTCAAAACTATGTTTAAGCCGAGGATATGTGTTCTTAATCGCCACATGAACGATCGCCAAGCAAAAATGAATCCTTCCTCCACCAGAACTCAAAATCGTAAGCTTTCCTCTATCCCTCTAAGTTTGATTTTGACAAACGAAACTAATTAGGGTTTTAATGTCTTTAATTATAACAACTTCTATCACTAATTAATTTATTTAATAATATAGTTGCTTAAATCCTCAGTTTTCACCAAAACCCATCCAAATGGTCATAACTGCCATTTAACTCCAATGATTAATTACCAACATCCAAAAACCCAAATTACACTATAAATTAATTTAATAATAAGAATAGGTATTTATTCACCGTAAGGCTAAAACATATAATCTTAATTTATGGATGTTAAAAAAAACAATGAACCCAAAAGGTTTCATAGTAAAGAAAAAACAATAGTATTTGAAACCATCCTAATCAAATAACAATAAGAAACCTTTCATTATATAATATAAGGGAAACTTTCCTAATTGCTTAATTTAAGTATCACCTCAATGAGGAAGCATGTCTACTAAAGTTATCCTTCTTGGAAACCTTGGAGGCAATCTCAAGATCATAGCATCTTGAATCTCAATGGGGAGATGTGTAGCTACAATGACTATTCCACCCTGGCTCCTATGATCTGCAATCATCTGTTCCAAAAGCTTCACACCTTCATCATCTAAAGCAACAGAAGGTTCATCAAGCAGCCAAATCGGTCTATCCATGGCCATCACTCTTGCAAGCTGCAATCTTTTTCTTTGACCCATTGAAAGCATCCGTGCTTTCTCATTGGCAAGTCGTCCAAGCCCCATGAACTCAAGAGCAGGTAAAGATTTTCCTTGTTTACTTTCAAGAACTTCAAACCATTGAACATTGTCAAGAACAGTGAAGTTGGATTTAATGGCTTCTTTCAGTGAGAGCCAGTTGAGTTGAAGTTTGTATTGGTGGAAAACTCCTGATTCGGTTATGTCATGGCCATTCCATAGGATCTCACCGGCTGATGGTTTGGAGAATCCGGCCAGCATCCGTAAGAAGGTAGACTTGCCGGAGCCGTTTGCTCCGGTGAGTACTAGGGCTCCACCGTCGTGAATTGAGATGTTTGTGTGGCGTAAGATTTGTTGAGCGTTTCTCATGCAAGAAACGTTGTTGAGAAGTAATCGAGGAAGTGGAGGTCTGCGTAAAGACATTGAAAGTCGTTCAAGAGAAAAAAAAACCTGCAATGGAAGAATCAAAGCGGTTTCGGTTTTCTTAGATCGAAAAGCTGCATACGCTACGAAAAGTTCTCAGAGGCATTTGATCGAACAGATAGACTGCATGACTTTACACAGTAAGAACACACAACGATTTTTTTCTTAACAGACACATAGTTTTTTTATACTTGTTATTGTTTGTGCAGTTTCAGTCAATAAGGTATTCAGATAGCAATTGGTGAAAGGTCAAAAGATAACGACATCGAAATCATGAAACAGATAACAGTAAGCACACCTTATTCTTCAGAAGTCAAGCTGAAACGGAGGAGTTTCTGACGAACAGTGACTCCGGCAGCGTCCCGGCGGAAGAAGGCCGCAGCGGCAACGGGAAATCAAACAAGTAACAGATGGATCAACCGATCAACATGATTTCCGAGATACAGAGCTTAGAGAAAATGGGGAATTTACTTTTAAAGGTTGATACTTTACCAACCCTGTACTTTCACGTATCTCATTTTCTACCTCCAACTTACAATTTTGCTACTTGAGACAGTGACTTGATTTGGGTCATGGACTTTATGTTTACAACTTACTCATATTTACTACTCCATTTAAAAGTGGAGCATGTGATTATATGTTTATATTATTAAACTAAAATATTTGATTATTAGCTAAATGTCTAATTTGTATTTTAATAAAGACAAAATCAAAAAAGGTTACAAACAATATGTCATGTAGCTCTCTTACAAGTGATGGTGACGTTTTATATGGGCTGTAGAAGTTACATGTGATACACCTAATGTTGGTGTGTATGTTAAAATTCAAGATGAACTTGATAAACTACATACCGAATCTGAATGAAAGTAAATTGGGTCCAAATTCATGTATGTGTGTGTATTTTATATAAATAATTTACCATTTATGTCATAATGAAAGTTGAAAAGATGAAACACAATGTTAAGGTTGTGTACTTGTGTTAACGAGTATCCGTCACCTACATTCATGATGCAAAGGTAAACACTCTCGATTCTCTGTTTTCAATTGGTGGAAAAGTGGAAACTCAAAACACCAAATGATATTTCATAAACAAAGTGGAAACTCAAGTCTCAAAACACAACTTAACCACTTGAGAATCAAACCAAAAGGTTTCATCATTCATCATAAAAAACACACCCAAAACACATTTATTACATAAAAAATAATAATAATAAAAAACCCATCAAGCTTTCCAAGAAGCATCTCTTTTCCATTCGACCCAATCCTCCATTTCCCTGAAAGCTCTTAAGCAAAACATACGAATTTGTGCACCAAAACCTTACTTTTAATCCAATAAGTCCTCCACTAAAAACCTTGGCCTACTTGCAAAACCAGCTTCACAAAAAGTAGAAGAAAAAGACATGAAGAAACGTTTGTTTGTAACTTTTGATTGTTTATTTATTGTGGAGTTATCTCCCATAAACGAATACACGCGTCTTCACCAGAACTTATGACAGTTTTTTCATCAACAAAAGCCACTGAGTAGACCCCACCAAGGTTAGCTCCTTTTACAGTTGTTCTGCTTGAAGCTGGCTTATCTATTTCATACACAATTACACACGTGTCAAGAGATCCTGTTGCCACCATTTTGTTATCAGGAGACCACGCTAAGCTGTTTATACGAGCTGTATGATATAACATGTTCTTCAGCTTCACCTATTTATAACAAACATCATAAGTTAATAATAAATCATAAACGTTTTTCTTTCTTTCAATTTAGTAATAAATTAGAATTTCTATTTTCTAGTACCTCTCTGGAGGCCCGATCCCATACAACAGCTTCTCTATTTGCATCAGCAGACGCAAACATGGAAACATCAGGAGAGTAACGAATCACAGTAATAGCCCCTCGATGTTTCTCAAGAACAGCTTCTTCCGAAAGAGTATCTCCCTTCACTGAATACATGTGCAATTTACCATCTTGCCCTCCTACAATCGCTTCATCTCCATCGGGTGAAATAGCGCATGCACTCACAGTGAATCCAAGCTCAACACTTGCCAACACCTGTGTACCTTTCAGAAGAACGACACCTGTCTCAATTGAAATCAATGCGAGTTCATGATTATTAATAGCCAAACTCAAATCCTTCGGTTGACTCCCAATGTCAATAATATCTGCTTCTGAACATTCTTCTCCATTTAACGGAATCCTCCATATCTGTTTATTACAACATCTCGTCAGATAACAAACCCTAAACCCTAAACCTTGACACAAATTGAATTACCTTATTGTCGAATCCAGATGACATGATTTCTTCATCAACAGCAGCGAGACATTTGATTTGATTTTTGTCGCCTCTCTCTAACTTACCATTGTAGCCAAATCCTCGAAGCCATTTGAATATTAAGCCATCATAGCTGCTAGAAAGAATGGCTTTTTCTGGCCCTTTTGTAAGCACAGCTAGTGAATTAACATTCTTCATGTGTCCACACAGAATCGTTGGATCTTTATCAAGGTCACTTGCAGAGTATAAATATATGGTCCCACCAAGAGAAACAGTAACTATATAATCATTTTGCCATAGACACCCAACTAACATGTCCTCAACTCCACCAGATCCTGGACAGGTTAAAGTCTTTGAAAGTGTTCCATTGAAATCATCTGATATTGTCCATATTTTTGCAGTTTTGTCAGCAGATACAGTTAGCACCTACAAATATAAAGGAAATAAAAAGAACCCTAAATTTGAACTCAAAGCATAGATAAATGAGCATTTTTTGTGGAATTTAGAAAAGAAAAGGAGATTAACTACCTGTTTACTATCGGGACTCCAGCTTACAGCATATATACTACCTGTGTGGGCGTCCTCTTTAGACAATTCACCCTTGACCTCTGCAGTTTTTCCATCATATAACAGCCCTCTTTTGTCAGAGCTTACAGTGATGAATTTGTTGCCATCAGGTGAAAACCTTACACAGTTGACAAAATTCGAGTGATCCCTGCATGTGAGAATAACAATGAACACTAGAATTGTACTAAATGTGACATAAGGATTTGCGTCATGTGATACTGTAAGTTTATGTGTTTGATGGAATTTGTTATCTGTTGTTGTAATACAAAGTACAGACCTATGTGATTGCTTGAACTTGAATGGTGGTCCTTCATAGAAGTTGACCAAGAAGTCCTCTCCACATGAGACTATGCGAAATGGTCTTGTGGGTTTGAATGCACAGCTTAGAACTCTCCTTGAATGCCCATCAAATTCTCCAACATTGCTTCCAGAATCCCACCTGTATAAGACTGTTGAAATGAGTGTCTATAATGGTAGAAGATCAAAAGGTTGACATGTTCATAATATTTCCAGATAAAGAAAGATGTCGATTTTGAATAATTGGACTTAGGGGTGACAATGAAGCAAGGATGTCATGGGGCCCTGCCTCACCCCCAAATGATGTCTGATTCGAAAATGACGACGCATCATCAAAATCAAAAGTGTTTGTATGATTTGGACAGATTTAAGACCAATACCCCCAAATTGTGTAAATAAGGTAGAGAAAGGGAAAAGTTGAAAAGATGTGATTGGCGCATTTCAACAAACAGTTGTGATCGAGAAAAACAAACCCACATGAAAGCTCGAACGAACGACTTGCCCTTGCCATCACCCGAAGCCACGATCCTCATCCCATCAGCAGACCACTGGATATCATCAATTCGACCCGACAAGACCCGAAACTCATTTTTCAACACGAATCCATTGTGGGTACCGTAGATCCTTATCGTCCCGGACACGTCAGCGGAGGCGATCCACTCTCCGTTAGGCGAGAACCTCGCAACGGTGGTTTGATAAGCATGTTCTGCGTACACCTCGACATCCAATGGTCTGTCGAGGTACCGGATAATCACCGATCGGCCATTACAGTACATAAATGCATTTGTTTTCGGATCACCGGATATTAATATTCCACGGCCGCGCTCCGTCGATGGGACGCAGGCGTACGTCTCTATAAGCTTTGCCATTTTTGATCAATTCTTTTCAGGTTTTTTGGGATGTGAAAGGGGTGATTGAAGGAGGTAAGAGGAATGAAACTTTTTGCAGGGGAACTTGGGAATTTCGTGTTCCAAGTGTCTAATGAGTGATGACTTTGCGAAAAGAACGTGGGGTGTCGAATGAGTGAGATTATAAACATATTTTCTTAGGATAATTTACAACGATATATTCATATATAATATTAAAAATAATGCTAGAAGCCTATAACTTATACAACGGCTTAAAACAAATAAAGGATATTCTTTTTTCTAATACGTAATTCATCCCCAATTGCTAGCGAGGTTTTTTATTATAACAATCATAGTTTTATTCGTTTACAAAAATTGAGGAGATCATATCAAATCATATTATATAAGTGTTCATTATTTGTTAGAGTTTCTAACAGTGAAGATTAAATGTTAAAACTTACTAACTTTTTTGGTGTGTATTATATGATTTATAACTTATATGTATGACATTAGTGTAACACTATCATTTATATTTGACAAACTAATTAATAGCTGAAAATACTGATAAATTAATTGATAAAAAACCACAATTGGTAAAAAAAAAATTTGAGATGCTAGCTATAAAATATAAATGAAATAAAAAGATTTGTAAAAAATAATAATATTATAATAAAAAATATGTAATAAATTTTATTAATAAGTAAATAGCTTTTTGGCAATCTCTAAATAATTCAAATATATGAATAATTTAGAGGTTTGAACAAATACATGTTGTTTGGTTAGATCTTTAGATGTTTTGTTGAATAAGAAAAAAGATCATTTTACACTTAATGGCATAACAACATCACTTCATGTTCTTAAAACTGTAAAACAAGATCAAAATAAACTAAAAAAATAAAAATTGTAAAGAAAGGTCAAAATCCTATCTCACAACATCACTTCATGTTCTTAAAACTGTAAAACAAAATCAAAATAAATTAAAAAAAAATAAAAATTGTAAAGAAAGGTCAAAATCCTATCTCACAATCTCTATCTAGTTTAATCAAAATAATACAATAAGATTATAATTATAATAATAATAATAATAATAATAATAATAATAATAATAATAATAATAATAATAATTATTATTATTATTATTATTATTATTATTATTATTATTATTATTATTATTATTATAACAACAACAAACAAACAAAGTATCATTTACCTCAATGCTAATAGGTAGGTATAATGTTGTAGAACTCGATATTCGGTACCTGTTCGGCCAACTACTGAGTAGTGAGTACTCGGGAGTACTCGGGGAGTACTCGGATTTGATAATTCATGTAGAAATGTTTTTAGGGAAATTATATATGTCAAAATCATAAGTTCAAACCATAAGTTGAGTGAAATATATAACAAAATTAGATGAATGTGAATACACAAAAAACTGAAAAACACATAAGGGTTTCACTCTGTGAGTAATTACTGAAAATTTAAGATATATATGTAGTAATAATCATATGTGTGTGTGTGTGTGTTAAATAATAAATTATTAAGTATATTATACATATCAATCACTAAGTTGACAGAGTTTTACAACATTGCTCAGTTCAGTAAGGGCCGATCAGGGAGTACTCGGGATTCTGTAACTCGCCTCGGTAAGGGGACAAGTAGCGAGTACTCGGAGGAGTAATCGGCCAACCCGACGAGTTTTACAACACTGGGTAGGTAGTCTTACATTGATACGTTTATCAGAGGGTGGTGACGACAGAGGGAATGAGTGGTTAAAATGTGATGTTGAAAGCCATATGATGTGTCGATGGAAAGGACAAGAGGTTGGGGAGGATTCAAAGATTAACTGACTTAAGGGTGACCACTTATCCTTTGGATCCTTAAGTTTTAGTTGCCCTATAATTAAGTGTTGGTTTTGCCTACGACAAGGTTGTTTTTATAAGTAGCATTCTAGAATGTTCTTAGGTACATGTGTGGTCCTACTAACTTACATGTGTTCTGGTGTGATGACCACTAGTACACAGATTTGGATGTAGGCAAAAGTTATGTATTCTAATATATACTAACTGGATTCTTATATATATATATATATATATATATATATATATATATATATATATATATATATATATATATATATATATAAAGAATGCAAACAACTCAACAACTTCCCAACTTCATCATTTCATTCACTATGAAACAGGTGGTTTATACATCAAACAGATTACAACTGGAACCTCTTTACATAAACACTCACTCTCATATGTAATCTATTAAAATCTATATACTGATACAGAACATGAACAAACCCTAAAGTATGAACAAACCCTAATCTGAATATGAGAGAACAATGAAAGAGTTTACAAAATATCTCGACTGAATGAGAAGAACTCATACAAAAAACAACTATATACTCTGGGTCACACAACCATGGATACTACCCATAGCCCACGCATTAACCCGATAACCTGCATAACCTTTCACAACACACCCCCCACAAATGTACAGAAATACATAGCTTACCCAATATCCCATAAATTAATGTTTAAGTTTGACACTAAATTTTATTAATTCTTTTAACATGCCCCTTCAAACTAAACATTAATATAAGGAAACATATCCTTAACTATTTTTTAAAAACATCAACCATGTTAAGTCTATTTACAATATATTCATGTTGACCACTTCCAAGAGACTTGGTCAATATGTCTGCATTTTGATCTGAAGACAAAATTTTATTTACTTTTAATATTCCATTTCAATTTTCTCCCTCACAAAATGAAGATCAACTTCAAAATGTTTTGTTCTTTCGTGAAATACAGAAAAAACATCATAAATGGTCCTTATGGTTTCCCAAAATCTGAAGTTTAGTCCCCGTGGTTTAAAAACGTCATAGATGGTCCTTGTGCTTTCAAAACTTTTAACGATTGGTCCTTATTGCTAACTCCGTTAAGTTCTATCTGTTAACTAAAGGGAATTTTCTTCATTTCACTACCACAGGGACCATTTATGATGATTTCTCTTATTTTATAAAAAAGGAAATAATATACAAAAGGGACATCTCTCTCTCTCTTTCTCTCTCTCTTGTTTTCTTCTTCGTTCAACACCAAACAAACACCCCGATCCTTGTTATTGTTGTCCCCATTTCTTCTTCATTAGACTGCCAAGACTCACCGACCGGAGGTGGGTGGTCCTCCGATCGCCGGAAAATGCGAAGATGCGAGAGAGGAGGTTGTTGCCTTCATCCCAACCTCCAACAAATCCCTTCCCTTCGAAGCTCAACCCCCAAACACCCCAGGTTGTTGCTCTCATTTTCTTCTCTTTCAATCTGATGAAGATGAGGTCCCACGCCCCCACTCGACTTCTGATTTTGTCCACTTCTTTCTCAAATAGGTGAGAGCTGAAGTCCTCTCATCCCCTTTCGCATTAGCCAAAAACGAACAGACAAGAGAAGGGCCATCGGAAAATCCAACAGTCCCTTTTCTTCTTCATCGATTTCAGTTGTCATACCACCACTTTTGACCACTCTATTCGATTTCCATTCCGATTAGATGAAGACGATGACCAGGGCGAAGATGAAGGCTCATCGAGGATCAGTTATGTTGGATTAGTGTCTAAGTCCATAACTATTTTTGGTATGTACTTGACCCGATGGTGCATGGTCCTTTTGGGTTGCCTTCACCAAAGCAACTTGATAGGATGAATTATGCAGAGAAAGGATTAAATATGATTTATTGATATATTATGAGAATAATATATTAAAGGAGAAATCATATTATTTAATTAATATTAGTCAAGAATTAATAAGAATTAAGTTTGTGGCTAAAAGAGATTAATTAAACTTAAGGGACTGGAATTGTAATTATAAGATAATTGCATTTGGGCTATGGATTACCTTATATTATTAGGTTGGACGAATTATATGGGGAGACCCATTAGAAATCGTCCAAGGGCCTTTAAGGAAGGAGTCCATGGGTTGCTTAGGGCTTCAGCATCCAAATTAGGGTTTCCTTACTAGATAACCCTAATAGCCTCACTATTTAAAGAACCCTTATGCCCCAAAAACGTGGTGAACTAATTGGTTAGGGTTTCCACACGTTTTGGGCAGCCTCCTTCTCTTCTCCTCTTCATCCTCTTGCTCTTGGTGTTTGTGAACCATTAGAGGAGTGACATTTGTGACTCTAAGCTTTCTAAAGTCATTACAAGAAGGAATTGTGATTGTTATTGCTACATAACAATCAAGGTATGATTTAAACCCATTATTATGTTAATATCGATTATCATATGCTATAATAGGGTTTATAGTCTTGGATGAATTGCATGTACAATAGAGAAACCTAGATCCAAGCATTAGGGTTTGTATGAGCACATAGGATGTTCTTATGGCCAAAACCCATCAAGTTATTCCCTCCGTGCAAGGTTGTAAAAAACGTTCGACGTTAGCTAGTCGCTGGACTGGGGTCAAAGGATTAATTGGCTAGGCGGAGATCAATCGGGGGATTAATCGGGTACCATTAATTGCTAATTGGTTGAATTTTAAAAAATTAAATATGACTAATATCATATCAAATTTCGTAAATACCACTAATATGATAGCATAATAGGTTAATATGCCTAATACAATACTAATCATGTCTCAAATACTTTCCATTAAGATAAAACTTCTTAAATATATTAAAATTTCATCGTCTTATAGTGTTTCACTCATTATGTATGTAGAGATTAATCGTTAGGCGCCCTCTAATCGGTCAAGTAACATCTAGGGATTAATTGGAGATTAATCGGGACCTAGTCGGGATTTTTACAACAGTGCCTCCGTGTGATCTGTTAAACCCCACCGGACCACCTCATTTGTTGATTTCGTTCGTACTTCTCCCTCCCAATCTACCCGATGAACGACGATTGCTTTCCCTATTTTTTGTACCAATTTGCTCAAACACACCTCCTTATTGTAGCACTTAACCATCAATAACTAGGTTAGAAATAACCACGAAGCTTCTTCCTTCCTTTCCTATACATCGATTCAAAAACCCAAAATTCAGAACATGTTTAGTATTTTAGGGATTGTGGTGGTGTTCATACCCAAATCCGATGAGGTCAGGAGGCAAAGGAAACCACTGAAAAAGATAATGAAATCATCCCCAACTCCCCGATCATTTTTTGGGTTTGATATCCATGCAAAGCCAATAG